GGAAATACCCAGATGGATCCATACTTTTTCCCACCTTTGATAATAATTCATGAGCATCGGTCAACATCTTACGACGAATACTACCATTATATTCTTTAATATGTGCACCATATACTTCTGTTATCCAATTCATTGAAGTCATCGCATGAATTGTATCATTTCCCGAACATGCTTTAAGTAATTTGTGAAAATTGTTGGGATAAAAATAATCACAAATATTACTCCAAGACATCGTCCAAGGATCCAATTGACGAATTGAAGACAATAATGCTGAATTTTCATTGGTAACGGATTGATAATGTAAATAAATTTCTACTTTTCCTTCCGTCGTTGATGATGATAACCAATTACAAATTTTGGTAATAGAATTTTCAAGGAAATTATAAATTACTTTCAAAAAGGTGGTATTTTTACGTTGATTCTTATGCAGGATGTCATCCGTTGGTATCAATTTGGAGCATAAATTCACTTATTGAGTGTGGTGAAATTCCATTATTGCAATTGAACATTGTAATACTTGCAATTAAATTTTTTGGTTGTTGATCATCCATGAGAGGGAACTCGCCAGTAAGGACATGACGCGCAGTTTGTATACGATCTAATTGTTCCATAAGATTAGCAACAACGTAAAATATTTTATCTTCTGAAGTAAAGGTTTTTTCCCAAAGTTTGTGCGCTTCTTGCTGAGATTTCGGTGTTTTGATAGACTTACTCCAATGCAATATTAATGATCCAACTTTTGGATGAAGTTCATTTTTCATGGGATTGGGTGGACTGTTATTTGGCGCATCTCCAAATTTTAAGATTTTCTTGACGGCATTCTCAAAATGTTTTAAAGTTTCCATCGTCCATACGGTAGAAAACCAAACTTCTATGATTGACCGAATTGGTGCTTTTTCCATCATCATTTCTTTAATCACATTGGTTTTCGCTACAGCATAAACAGATCCTTCGTATCCATAAATTTAATTGATTTCTTTACTAATCTCTCATTTTGTTGAATTTTAGCTCGTAAAAGTAAATCCAAGTCAACAAATCCAACTGCAATATGAACTTTTCCTTGTTCAAGTAAAAAACGTGGCTTTGGCGTGTTACTAAAGCTTAGAGCACCAACTCCTTTGTCTCCAACATAGGGATTTTTTGTTTTTCCAGTGAATATGTCACCAATTTCTCTTGGAGATGAGAGAAATTTTATGAGTTTATCTGATAATTCATTCCACCTTTTCATTAAGTAAGAGGGATCAGATATTTGAAAATCATTTTCTATGAACTTATCTTCGAATTGCATACATTCTAATGCTGATTTAGAAGATTCAAGAAATTGAATTCTCTTCCTTTCATTTGGATATTTTGTGGCATATTCTTGTCCAAAATTAGGCACATTCCAATTCTCCTCAAAGTTAGTCCTATCCATCATGTCACTTAATAACTCAAGCATTTGAGGCGGAAAAGTGGAAACTTTAGTTTGATCGATAGTTTCATTTACATTGATAACTGGTGAGCTCTTACACAACTCTTTATGCTTTTTCCAATCTTTTTTTTGACATTTTCCAGAGCAATAATATATTCGATGACATTTTGAACATCTGGTAGTGGAAGGCTTCTGGCATACATTGCATTTATTCATTATATATAAAGAAAGAATTAAGATAAATTGATGTATAAGTGAATAAAAGTTGAAGAGGGTTTAAATAACGCTTTAAGTTACACATCAGCATAAAAAGGTATCAAAGG